TATGTCTCAATTTCAACAGGTTCAATTTTATTGCAATGAATCTCATGACATGGCTCGACAGATTAACTAAGACAAGAGGTATTAAAATGGCTATTAAAATTGGACCAGGAATAGAAGTAAGTAAATGCGTTTCTATTATTATCTTTTTCAAGAAAACATATATACATANGGACGAATTTGTACATTATACGAAGATTGATTAATCGATCGAACAATCGTTTCAAACAAGGGATTTATCATTTGCGTGTAATGATAATGATAACAACAAATATTTGAGAAATGAGAAATATATAGTCGATTTAGTTACGAGTTTTAGCAGCGAAAGGGTTAATGAAAGGAAGACTCGTCGCTGGTATAACCAGATGGAGGAGGAAAAAAAAAAAAAAAAAAAAAAGGAAAAAAAAAAGAAAAAAATAGTTGGGACGTTTATTTGGCAAGTTTAACGCGTTCAAAGCCCGTCCATCGTCTCTCGTCATGCATTTTCTGGGGGGGGGGACAGGGTATATATTGCAAAAAAAGAGGCGCGCGACGTGTGAGCACGTACGTGATCCGAATGCCACACGTAGGATTCGAATAACGATTTGAGGCGAAAGCAATCCCTTCCGTTGCTTTCTCTTCCCGAATTACACCTGCTCCTAAGCTACTAACTTCCGTTCCCCAACAGAGGAACGAACTCTTTGATCCACGCTACTGTTTATTACCTTGTCTTTTGATCTTTCAGATAAAGAATAAAGAAAAAAGAAGAAGAAGAAGAAGAAGAAGAAAAAGAAAAAGAAGAAGAAGAAGGGAAAAAAAAAGGAAATTATCTCCTCTCGTCGAGAGAAAGAGAGAGAGAGAGAGAGGGAGAGAGAGGTTGCTTTTCTCTCTCTTTTTTTTTTTCTTTTTTTTTAAATTTTCCAATCTTCCACCGATCATTTCATATTCGATGTGTAAAGAGTGATTGTTGTTTGTCCGGTATATAATAAACCGGAAGTCGCAGCGAAATTATAACCTTTGCGCAGCCTCGTCAGCTTCTCATCCCTATCCTCCTCCTCCTCATCCTATGATCATCGACGCGGTAACAAGTCGACGAGACGCGCCATCGAGTTTATATACAACTCATCGATATATCTTTAATCGATACACGCGAAAAAAAATCGATCTCGTTTTTCGCATCCGAATATTTTTCATCATTTGAATTGATCAGGATTGTAATAATTAATATGATGTTTCTCGTTAACGCGTTCTCGAATTGACAAACTGCTTTTGAACCATTTTTTTTTAGGTTATGTTCAATTTTGACAAAATTAATTCGTAAGTTTGTAATAAATTACAAGTTATTTATAATAAATCGACAATTATAATTTATGATTTATGTGTAGATTTTTCTTTTTTCATTGATTTCACGATCGATATCGTCGAGAATTAATTTTTTTAAATTTTCGTTTCGTTTTATTATTACCAGGTAACACTGATATTATCCAAGAGATTTTTGGTATTTTTTTTTT